CAAATCAGCGTACAGAAAGCGGCAGCGGAAAGAAAGATGCCTTCGGCCGACGTGCGACCGCGACACTCGCGAATCGTATCTCGCCGCATCCCTCCGCCCATAGCTACAAGACATAGACTCGCTATGTCTCGTAGCTATGGGCGGAGGGATGCGGCGAGATACGATTCGCGAGTGTCGCGGTCGCACGTCGGCCGAAGGCATCTTTCTTTCCGCTGCCGCTTTCTGTACGCTGATTTGTTGAGACAAAATAATTAATTTCTCAAAAACTATTACGAATATCGCAAAACGGCACAGGACTTTCTTGCTCACCTCAATCCGTTCTACGTTCTCACCAAGGGTCATCATGGGACTTCGGGACACCCTGTATATATATTCATATATAATTTTACATAATTACGCATAAATTTATATGTAATTATACATATTGTTATACATAATTGTGTATAATTATATATAATTTTATATGATTATATATAATTATACATAATTATGTAGAATATGCTTTTGGTTTTTTATATGTATTCTTGCATTATTTCAGATGTACTACATCATATTTTATGCAAATTGGTGCTTCACAATACCGAGTTCTTGGATTAATCAAACAAAAGGAACAGTACAATGGCCACCACGAAATATAAATATAAAAACAGCAATATTAAAAAATATTTCCCCAAACGAAAATTGGAGTATATTACACTACCGAAAGATTATAGGGCCATATAGTAATTATATTTAAAGAGATTCAAGCGTTTGACTAAATAAAAAACAAATCTATAAATATTGGGTGTATATCAGTTGGACACGGGACAATTGAACGCAGTCCAATCACAAGTCACTGTTCCAAGGGACTCTACAAATGTCTCTAATCACACGGTGCTGTGATTGGCTGTGTCCAAATGCACCGTGTCCAAGTGCACCGCTCCCATAAATATTTACCCGATGAAACATTTTTCATGCAAAATTTTGTATGAAATTTGTCCATACATAATTATGTATAATTATATATAATCATATAAAATTACATATAATTATATATAATTATGGACAAATTTCATACAAAATTTTGCATGTAAAATGTTTCATCAAGTAAATATTTATAGATTTGTTTTTTATTTAATCAAACGCTTGAATCTCTTTAAATATAATTACTATATGGCCCTATAATTTTTCGGTAGTGTAATATACTCCAATTTTCGTTTGGGGAAATATTTTTTAATATTGCTGTTTTTATATTTATGTTTCGTGGTGGCCATTGTACTGTTCCTTTTGTTTGATTAATCCAAGAACTCGGTATTGTGGAGCACCAATTTGTATAAAATATGATGTAGTACATCTGAAATAATGCAAGAATACATATAAAAAACCAATAGCATATTCTATTGAATCTGGGTTAATCTACATTAAATTAATCTAGGTCCAATCGAATATACTACAAGTAAGAACCATATCAGACTATGGCCGGTATTCATAATCCGGTATTCATAGTCGAGTCTTATATTAAAGATCGTCTTAATTTTATTTTCAGATACTCCGTAGTCAATGAAATGATCCGTACATCTTCTGAAGATAAACTTAAGACGGTTGTAAATATAAAATCCGACTATGGCTTGGTTTACATCGTGCACTTGATACGCGTATTAAATAGTAACTTTCTATTAGATAATCTTAATATCGACGATGTATATAAATAACGGTATATTAAGCTGATATAATACTGATGAAGAAGACTTATTGTATCGATTGAATGCGTCATTGTTGATATGCATTGTCAATATTAAGATTATTTAATAGAAAGTTATTTAATAGTATGCGTATCAAGTGCACGATATAAACCAAGCCTATGGCCGATATTCATAGGCTGAGTTTCCACTGAGCGCGTCACGCGTCGCGTCGTCGGTCGCGTCACGAGTTTAATCAATTAAATCGTTCCATTGAAACAAGTGCGTCATGCGTCGTGCATCGCGCGTCGCGTCATTCCAATTAGAGGATTTGATTGGTTAACTCGTGACGTAGGCAGACGACGCGACGCGTGAAGGCCAAATCACACTAGCAATTGACGATTGATGATTGACGATTGAAGATTGGAACTTGACCAATTGGAACAAAGCAAGCCAAGGCTGAAGCTTGTTGATTCGTTAAAATCTAATCTTTAATCGTCAATCGTCAATCGCTAGTGTGTTTTGACCTTGACGCAGTCAGTGAGAACATAGCGTAAAGGCCAAATCACACTAGCGATTGGCGATTGACGAGGTAAGCGGACATAATTCATAAAAAAAGAGGGCATAGCGTTGGCAAAAGTTCCTAGGATCCATAAATTAATTTCTCAAGGTTAATATCATTGTTAGACGGGAAAATGCACAACAGAGATGTAAAGTTGTGACAGGTTATATGTCACGGTGTCAAAAGTAAACAGCGGGAGTGAATGACAAGTTATGGAGACAGAGGTTAACACCAAATTTTGTTAATTGGTTGTTTCCTCGGATTATTTTATGGAAGAAAAAGAAGGTTAGTACCAAATGTTAAAAGTCGTTAATTTCAGATAACGTTTGCATCGAGTTCATGAGCGTGAAAATAAACAATGCGACTGACTTCACTGCAAGTCGCATTATATATAAATTAATGTTTAATACGCAAGATCGTATATCATCAAGTGTTAAGCTTAAAATAACGGTGAGGTGGATTTAATCTAATTGTAATGTATTGCATTTTAGGAGAGAAAAGTGACTGATACTCAAGAGCAGTCTGTGTACACATATACTAGGAGCGACAATGGAGTTGAGTCATAGTCTGACCTTCAACGAGGATGCTCTTAACGAAGTTCACGCGAGTCCAAATGAGCAATTTTAATCTGCGAGTGATCATGCTTCTAGACAAAGTTCTGGTCGAAGCTCAAAAGGTATGGATATCACAGTTCGACATTTGCAAATATAGAAAATTTGTAATCACAAATCTTATATGCTGTATAGTTTTAGTGACTAAAATAATTATGCTAAATATGTGTATTTGCAGAACGATATTAAAGAACGCCAACAGAAGATAACAGAAGTTGGAACAGCTGACCAGACATATGCAAAGAGCTCCTGGTCCATCTATATCACCTGACGTTTACCAATACCAAGGTGCCTCGCGACTTTATTCAGTGGCCTGGTTTACATCGTACACTTGATGCGCGTACTAAATAGTAACTTTCTATTAGATAATTTTAATATTGAGCTATATATGCATATCAGCAGCGATGCGTTTAATCAATACGTTTTCTTGATGAGTATTATATCAGCATACCGTTGTTTATATATATCGTCGGTATTAAAATTATCTAATAGAAAGTTACTATTTAGTATGCGTATCAAG